AGAGAGAGAGAGAGAGAGAGAGAGAGAGAGAGAGAGAGAGAGAGAGAGAGAAAGAGAGAAAGAGAGACATGAAACAAAAATGAGACGCCATCAGCGAGTGTTGCTGTGCACCACGGCGTATCCGTGGCGGGGTCCACTTGTAATAATAATAGTAATAATGATTATAATAATGATTATAATAATGGTTATAATAATGATTATAAATAATAATAATAATAATACTATGTTACCAGCTGTCCGATTGGAGGACAGCCGTGCCGGACATTTCCATCGGACGTCCGGTAGCCCCACTGTCCCGGACAACACATTTTCGGCCAATCCAGGGCCGACACGCGTTTCCATGCACCTTGTGGGGACCACCTATACAAGGACAGGTTGGGGGGGGTCTGCTGCCACAGCCTCAGGTACAACTGCAGGTACTGCTGCAGCTGCTGGAGCTGCTGCAGCAGCTGCAGCAGCTGCAGTGGTTGTAATTGCTGCAGAGGAGGAAAAAAAAACATAATGAAAAACAAGCTGCTGCTACAGCGGCTGTAGCAGGTGCATCAGCCGCAGCAGTTGTTTGTTTTGAAAAAGATTGGACCATTTCTCGATTTATGCGTGTCATCCTTGAAAGCGCAGGGGCCATGCTAATCTTCTCTGTATCGTTCCAATTTTAACGGATGTCCCGAAGGACAACAGCTGTAACTGCTGCAGATTAACAAGAAAAAGGCGAAACTAGGGTGTGGTCACGGTTTCAGTTTGAAAATGCACTTCAGTCACGATTTCGCGAATGTTGTGCCGAGTCGAGGAAAATTGCGAATGCATGCAACCTAGCCTTAGGGTCAGGTGGGGATGTGTTGTATTTGCGGGATGCCTGAAGTGGATTTAAAACTGAAATGGTGACTGCACCCGAGTAACCCCCCCCCCCAAAAAAAAATCGACAAAAATGGCAGTGTCAAAGACATGCTCTCCCACCCGCTATCCTGTTTTTTTGTTTTTTTTTTGGACACCGCAATGGCGCAGTCTTTGGTGTTTTTTTTTTTTGTTTCTGATAAATTGAAATTCCCTGAAAATTTACAAGGATATACCTCACTCGCTGTGTCGGCATGCAACGGAGCAACAGTGCCCGCAGCTACTGCCCCTCGGTGAGGAGGGTGGGGTTGCGTGGAGGTGGGGAGGGGAGGGGGGGGTTGAAAGGTTGGAGGGAGGGATGTAGGGAGGATGGAGAGGGGCGAGGAGGCGGGAATGACAGGGAGGTGTTATTCAGAACGGTCTCCCTAATGTTATCAGAATTTCGAGAATCCTTTTTTCCATAACATTATCAAAATCCTCCCCACCATCATTGCTTTCCCCCTTCCCCACTTTCATTCCCGTCGTCCCCCCTCCTCGCCTCCCATCTTGTGTTCCCGCCCTCCCACTGCCTCCATTCCCCTATGACTGTGGTGTAAGATGTGCCTTGCTGCTATGTGACACCCGCGGCCTAGGCCGCGGGTATTTCGGCCGCTGCGGCCGAAATTCTCGGCCGCGGCCACGGCCGATGAGGCCCAGTCCGCGGCCTGGTTTTTCAATGTTCCCCCCCCCCGCCCCCC